GATCTACAGCAGCATATTAGCAAAGGAGTGCCTCTCTGCAACAAACTGGTGGTAGGAGGCAGGGATTACCATATATATCTCCTTTAGCAAAAGCAATATGGATGATTCACCTCTGAATTATAATTTACTCTGCACTTGAAATGTAGCTATTGGGAAACCACACACTGCCGATGCAAGTAGGCAACACTGCACTGAGGGCACTAACAAAACAATCTTAAAACTAAATTATTTTGAAGCTAAATTAACAATTTATTATAGAATTAAAAGCAAGAATGGCAGGATTTTAAAACCAAGGTGATCTCAGTACAACAATAACCTAACTAAATGTCCTTCCCCCAAATCACTAGAAGTCAAGCTATCAGAGCTAGTACTATACCATACAAAGGAAGTCAGTAGAATAATGCATTGGTATTCTAAGCTATTTCAGCTAATGAAAACCAAATTTCAGTACCTTTTAAAACTTAATAGGTTTTGAAACTGCCCAAAAGAATTGACAAAGATCTATAATTTTGGGTCAGTCTTCTGGCCACCACTACTCCGGGAACTTGGGTATACACTTTGATCATTGTTCAAGGATCAAAGGTCAACTCAAGAAACTTCTTCAGGGACATGGAAGTTTTTTTACCATACTCCCCAAATCTAATATCAACAACAGACTTTTGTTTTACATAAAATAGAACAGATGATCATAAAAACCCTTAAGGGCAATCAATTTCTTCCTAGCCAAGGGAGCTTGGTCCCCTACAACATCCTTCCTCTTTGCCTCTGGGGTTTCCAAAGCCTGGGGGCAGCCCAGAGTGACCTCCCAGGTGATAGCAGGGGGAGTCCTGGCTGCTGGGCACTGCTGGCTCACAATACTTGGACTGGCTCAGAGTCTACAACAGAGGGAATGAATCAGAGTTGATATCTCATATCTTTGGATCACTAGGCCTCCTACAGTGACCAGTACAAAATAATGTCAAATACTCAGAAAAACTAAACCTGGCTCAGCTCACCTTCCCAGCCCCATAAATATGCATTTATCAGATATGTCCTCTTTTCTGCTACAGCTGTTCCAGTGTAGGAGGTGACCTTCCCTAGTCCAAGATAATTCTCCTCTCCTTGCTTGGTGACCCAAACCACTTCTCTTCTCAGGAAACTTATAACAACACCCGTTGGTCTACCTCAGCATCTCCAAATTCCTTTTGACTTTCAAACCTCTTCCACAGAAACATAGGTACATAAACTCCCTTAGGAAATTATTAAATTATTTCATTATATGATAGACAAATTTTAAGTAGAAATGTTTCATTTAAAATGAGTATAAAGATTATAATACAGCCGTTCTCAACCTGTGGGTCGCAACCCCTTTTTAACAATGAAACACATTGCAGCGTTAGGAAGGTTGAGAACCACTGCTATAATATGAAACTTATTTTAAAAGTAATTTTCCTGTGTAATGCCACTACTCATTTACATTAAGCAAAAGGCATATATGGACAAAGTCGTAAGTTTTAGCACCAAAACGTACTCTGAAATGTGGATTTAAAATTAAATCTGTTTTAGAGTTAAACCAAATAAAGTTTCATGATATTTTTCCGACGTTTTGTTTTTTGAATGTAAAACTCAACCTTTCATAGTTTTATCTTAGTTTTTAAATGATGAAATAAGGGTTAGCAACTGGGAGTGGTGGCTCACGCCTGTAATCCTAGCACTCTGGGAGGCCAAGGTGGGTGGATCGCTTGAGCTTACCAAGTTTGAGACCAGCCTGACCCAGAGCGAGACCATGTCTCTAAAACTAGCTGGGCATTGTGGTGGGTGCCTGGAGTCCCAGCTACTTGGGAGGCTGAGACAAAAAGATCACTTGCACCCCAGAGTTTGAGGTTGCTGTGAACTGTGACATCCCAATACTCTACTGAGGGTGACAAAGTGAGACTATCTCAAAGAAAAGACTTATTTTCAAGTACTTCTGTGAAGAAAGCAAATAGTCTTAATTCTCCCAAATTAAAATGTCAAATTAGATAAAAACCAGTATTACATTTCCTATTTTTAACACTGGCTTTTGAAGAATAAAATTTCTATAAGGAAAAACAGAATTTTTAGATTCAGTAAAGATCCTTGTGAGGCTGCTTAATAGGAGAATTAAGTTTAAACTCATTTCTAGTGGGTTATATTTCAATCCTAAGCTTCATGTCCTTAGACAATGATTTATATAATTGCTATACAAAAGGAAAACCTGTCACTGTACAAATGACAAAACACCGAGGATTACTGGGAGTTGGTCACATATGTGGACAGTCCACAACGAGATGAGAGCACAGCGCCACTGGGCTCCACCAACCCCGGGGCTCTTTGTATACACTGAGCTCTATTTTCTAGGGGGAAATGTGTGAATCAATACTTATTCGCTGCTCCGATATACCCTTCCCGATGCATCTTCCACCACCACTGTCTGTTCTTGCCTCTGTCTTTCCCTTGCAGCCAAACCTCATGAAAAAGTGGTTGGATTAAATTTGCTAATTCAGATTTTCAACAGACACTAATTTCTCAATCCACTCTAACTTGGTTTCTGCACCCACGCTTCAACTAAAATTATTTCTGTTAACATAACCAGCAATGTCCATGTCACTAAGTCCAGTGGGTACTTCTCAGTCTTATTTAATCCTGCAGCAGCTGGTTGTTCTCCTGCCCGTTCCTGAGGCATTTCCAGCCTTCAGCATGTGGGATGACATGCTCCACCAGTTTCCACTAATTTTTCAGACTGCTTTGCCTCAACCTCCTTGGCCCACCTCCACTTTACCTTTAACAGTGTTGGTGTTTTTAAGCATTTAGTAAGCCCTCCTTCCTCCCCACTCCATTTTTTCTTCAGACATCTTCATTTTTTTCTCTAAATGTTCTAATTTATCCCTAAGGTTTCAAATATCCTCTACAGGCCAATGGATACTTCTATCTCAGTTCAGACCTGTCTGCTGAGCTTAGCCCATTATATCCACCTGCTTAAGCAATATACCCATTTGAATGTCAAATTCAACGTGGTAAAAACTGAACATTTGGTTTCACACCAAACCCAGACCAACTCCACCACAACCTGCTTCATGACTAGGTACCCACTACTCAGGCCAAAATTATGAGTGTCCCCCGGACATGCCTCCCTCCTCTAACCCAACACTGCCAATCAATTAAATCCTGTTGAGTCTACTCCCTATATACAGAGAGTGCCAAGAAAAGTATCCACATTCTAAGAAAGGAAAATATTCTGCTAAAATTGTAATATCGATATCAAAAATGAACACAAGTCACATTAAGCACCTCTTGAAACTGCAGAAGTAAAACGTGACTTGAATATTACAATTCTAATTTTCTTAAAATGTGGATACATTTTTTTGGCAACCTCCATATTTCATCACTGTCTACTTACCTCTATCACCATTATTACCACTCCAGTCCAAGACTGCTCCCCAGTTAGTCTTGGGTGAACACTGTCTCTGCTCCAATCCATTATCTACTCGGGAGTTAGAAGGCTGTTTCCCCACTTTGGTAAGACCAGGTCTCTCTGTTGTCCAGATTGAAGTGTAATAGCCTGATCATATCTCACTGCAATGCAGCCTGCAATTCCTAGGCTCAAGCAATCCTCCTGGCTCAGCTGCTTATAACTAATTTTAAAAAAGATTTCTGAGATAAGGTCTTGCTGTGTTGCCCAGGCTGGTCTCAAACTCCTGTCTCACCCTCCCAAAGTACTAGGAATACAGGCATAAGTCATGGCACCCGGCTTAGAATACTATTTTTAAAATGCAGATCTGACCACATTACTCTCCTGTTTTTACAAAACCGTTTGACTTCATCTCAATAACTGAGTACAATGTCCAAAACAAAAACTTAAAGACCTCGTTTTTAGGTCTGGCCCCTGCCTACCTCGCCAGCCTCACTTACCACTATTTCCTCTATCTTTACATTAAACACACAGTACTTTCGCTTCCTCAAAAAAAACCATGCTTTTCTACCTCAAGACCATCAATTTTACAGTTTTCTGTTCTCAGAGACAGAAGCTGGCAAACTTTTTCAGGAGAGTATCAGTCAGTAAACATATTAGGTGGTGTAGCCCATGAGGCCACAGTCTGACTCAACTGTTCAACTTTGAAATTGTGGCAAGAAAACAGACACAGATGTTCCTGGGCAATAAAGAATGGACTTGGACCAGGGCACAGTTTGCCAACTCCTACTCTAGAAGGCTATAATCATCCCTAAGCCCATCACTTAGGAGTTCAAGCTCCATGTTCTCAATGAAGCTTTTCCCGATCAGGATAAATCCCCTTAATTGAATGCACTTATACCACAAGTGTATGTCTCTTTCCTACAACAGCTCATTATTGTATAGCTGACCTTTGAACAATGGGGGGGTTAGAGGCACAGACTCCCCACCATGTAGTCAAAAATCAGTGTATACGTTTTGACTCCCCCAAAACTTAACTACTAATAGCTTACTGTTAACTAGAAGCCTTCCTGATGACAAACAGTTGATCAACTAGTTATGTATATTACATACTATATTCTTTCAATAAAGTAAGCTAGAGTAAAAAATGTTGAGAATCGTAAGAAAGAGAAAATACACTTAGAGGATTATACCGTTATTTGTTGATGCCTGCCTATAGTAATACTATCACTGCAACCTCTGATTAGATATTTAACCTCTTTAAGACTTCTACATGTTTTATATTAAAGGCACCAAAAAAATTTAATTTCTACAAGATAAGTTTTGAAATTCCTCCATATTATATTGCCAATTAAGGGGGGGGGTGGTTTTCCTCCACTGTTCTAGATTAATTCTGTGTCTTCAGAGAATAGCAAAAGGAGATATCCTCTCTGCATTTAGTAAGAACAGCCTAAAAATACTAGGTTTGGCTATGTCCTGGGAGTTGCCTAATGATCACAAATCCTATTTATTTCACAGTAATTCCCCTTCTCCTTAGAAACCAAACACATTCAGTGTATGGCACATCAAGCGATCATCAAACCTTTCTTACCTCTGCTTCATTGTCTCATGTAACCTCCCGTGTTGGACACACTGCTGCTCCAGTTCATCGTTCCTTCTCTGTAGCTTTTCCAGTTTGTCACGTGTATACCTTTTTTCTTGACTGAGCTGAGCTATTTCAGATCTAGAAAGGGAAAAATGTAGAAATAATATTACAGGTTCTTATTACTAGAGTGTGTATTTATTGTATAACCTCAACCTTGAACTCTAACTTGAATGTAACAGTACCACACACAACAATATTTTATGTAAAATATATCAGAACTTACAAAATATCTAGAGACATATATGCATTGTAGAGACTTAATTAAACAAATAACAACTTTAATAGAAATGGCTTTTCTAAGAAATTAGATAAAATGACAAGAATCAAATCTTTTTTTTTTTTTGACAGTCTCACTCTGTTGCTCCAGACTAGTTACCTGGCATCATTAAAGCTCACAGCAAACTTGGGCTAAAGAGATCCCCTTGCCTCAGTCTCCCAAGTAGAAGGAACTACAGGAGCCACCAGGCCTGGCTAGTTTTTCTATTTTTAGAGAGTGAGATGGGGTCTCACTCTTACTCAGGCTGGTCTTGAACTCCGGAGCGCAAGCAATCCACCCTTCTTGGCCTCCCAGAATGCTAGACTTATAGGCATGAGCCACTGCACCTCCAATCTCTTTTAAAAAGATTCACTCATATAACAAGTACTAAGCATTATTATAGCCTAGTCACCATGTTTTAAAGAAACAACTCTAGCCCTAATTTCTGTATCAGAATTTCTTTCAATTTAATGGCACCTGTTTAAAATAGTTCTGTGATAGTTAGTTTTATATGTCAACTTGGGTGGGCCACAGTGCCCAGATATTTGGCCAAACATTACTCTGGATGTTTTTGTGACGGTGTTTTATTTTTGTTTTTTTAAGAGATTAACATTTAAATCCATGGACTTTGAGTAAAGTATATTATCCTCTGTGAGTGGGCCTCATCTAATCCATTGAAGGCATTAATAGAAAAAATACTGACTTCCCTGAGTAAGAATTTCTACCTCCAGACTGCCTTTGGATTTAAGATGCAATTCTTCCCTGATTATCCTGCCTACCCTCAAGATTTTGGATGTACCAAGCCTTCATGATTACAGGAGTTGATTCTTTAAAATCTCTGTCTCTGCCTATCTAGACCTACATAGCTAGATTAGATAAACAGACATATGGTTTTTCTGAAGAAGCCTTTATTATGCATTTTAGAATTGATATAATTATGTAAAACATCAGTCTCCTGACCCCAATCCAGCTAAACAGTGACAAATACTTTCAGTTTTTACTAAAGCTATTTCTTCTGACATTTACTTCCATAATTTTAAGTATGTTCATGCGCTGTCTCTTGTTCTATCAATTAGGAATTTTCTCCTGACTGATTGTTGTAGATGAATAACTCTTCTACATCCTCATTCCCCTTTCATCTCCAGCTTATCAACATCACCAGAATTTCAGTTTGGGGTTCAATTGATATCAGTATTTACATTAAGTGAGGATTTAAATTAGTCCTTGCTATCAAAGCAGTGTATTATTACATTTTCACATGTGTACATTCATTTTCTGTGAACTAGTGGGCTTTAGCATGGGGTGACTGAGTGGCAAGCCATCTTTCCTGATGGGACTTCTTCAAATATCTGCCACTACTTGTCTATGGACCTGCTTTTGCTCAGGAGAAGGATCTTCCAGTGTCCTCCTGTTGTGCACAATCTTGACTATCAGCAGCCTGGGAGCTGGATGGAAACAGGGGGCGAGGATCTTACTTTCACACCATCTTTCTCTTAATTTTTTGGTTCTAAAATAGTGTCCCTATTTTAATCGGAGCTCTCAGGTTTAATCTCTTTGGAGAGGAAGCCCCTAGTCTTCTGTATGGAGCTGTTATCTTGCTACAAGGGGTGGAGTAGGAATCATCGATTTTTTTTCTTCCAAGTTCTTTTGGAATTCTGAGAACAGATCAGCTTGCTTCACTTATCTATATCCCACTTTATGGACACTTAAGATTAACCATTCTCCATCCTGCTAATTCAGGTACCATCCCCCAACCTTCTTTCTATCTTCATATATTTTGAGATCACAGATCTCTCCTTTGGTGATGGCTGGTATCCCTCAGGAAATACGCTGTCTTTAGTGTCTTAGATGACAGTCTCAAGTCTCAAAATTTGAAGATCAGAAAGATGTCTATCCAGGAGAAGTGTCTCCCTGTCCTTGTTTTAATTAAACTCTAAACTGTTACCTACAGCTCCCATCTCCTCATGTCCTACGGCCTCATCAATTACAATCAAAAGCTTAAAACTCTTGCAGATCATGAGTAGCTTCCAGGTTATTGATTGGTGTGTTTCCTGAAGTTTAGGATGCTAGTCATAAAATTCCCTACAAAGAAAAGCTGCTTCCATTGGGTAAAACATATTTTTCTTCCTGGTCAGAAAAATGGAAATTTGCTAAGGGAAATTTCACCTTCCAAATTGTTCTTCCCAAGGACCAAACCATTCACATGTTTGAAGCAATGTCTTTTAGTTCGTTGCATTCCTCATTTTTTTGTCTTGGTTCAAGTGTCATCTCAAAGCAAGCTTTCCTTCAACTACCTCTAGGCTTTACATGTATACAGAGGGCACCAAAATAATTCATACACACTTTAAGGGATGTTATTTATGTATTGTTTTTAACTTACTAGATTATTGGTTTATTATAAAATAACTATAAAACAGCCAGATAGAGGTACACAGGTAAAGGTCTGGGGGAAGAAGCATCCACATCCCCTCCGGACACTGCCACCCTCCCAGCACTTCCATGTGTTCTCTAACCTGGGAACTCCACCCCCAGGCCTTGTCACATGGGTAGACTCAATTATTAATGGAATCTCCAGCCTCTCCCCTCTTCCTGGGGGATAGGGTTGGAGCTGAAAATGCCAACATTCTAATCATAGCTTGGTTTTTCTGTGACCAGCCCCCATCCAGAAGCCCACCAAAAGTCACCTGATTAGAACAAAAGATGCTCCTGTCTCCCAGGGAATTCCAAGGAATCAGGAGTTTTATGTTAGGAACCAAGTCACAGGCTAGATCATATATTACTTTTTTAAGGTATTGATACTGGTCAGGTGTACCTAGACATGCTACGTACATCCATTTTACCTGCAATTCGTATACCTTTTGGGAATGATTTTACTTCCAACAACATCTCATAAAATGTGTTTATATTCTTGGTACCTCCGGTTTAGCTTATTTATTCTTTTGAATAGTGCTCTAATCCTGGTCTGTCTTAGTAGGTTAGACATGACAGCATAGGTTATCTCAATGTCAAGGTCAGATCAAGTGCTTAATCTACATTTGATTATCCTAAAAATTTACCCATATTTGAAATTGTCTAAAAAAATTGATAATGACTCATGTTTCTTCAAAATTACATATCATAACCTCTTTTATAAGTTTTTAATTTAGTACTCCATTAGTATTAGTGTCTTATATCATGCACTAACAAATTCCAATAAAAGAAAAAATACACTTTAAACCATGTTAGAAGAAATGCAGAACATTTAACTACTGTTACTCAAGAAAAAAAGGCATTTTTCTAAAAGAAATCACAAAGAAAAAACAGACTTTATAAAACTTCTATCCTTAAATCATGTTCCAAAAATATTGTTTGTGCAAGAATATTCATTACAGCATTATTTCTAGAAACAACCTTGCCCTGTGACCCAGGATCTGAAAACTTAACCTAGAAATCTATCAACAGGAGACTGGTTACATCACTTATGCAATGGAATATCAAGATATTCTGATAATGTGGCTATTAATGTTCTTTATTGCCCTAAAATCTATGACACATTGATAAGGAAAACACTAAAAATCAGCATATATAATGATTCCACTTTATAATCAAAAAAATATGTTGACATGTATACCAAATATTAATATTGGCTATTTCTGGGTGGTAAGATCAAGACTTTTCTATATTCATTCTTTTCTATACTTTTACACATTTCTTAAATGAAAACATTTTTAAAAACATAGTCATTTTGATTTTGAAAAAGTGCAGAATAGGCTGGGCACAGTGCCTCATGCCTGTAAACCTAACACTCTGGGAGGCCAAGTAGGTCGATTTCTTGAACTCAGGAGTTCCAGATCAGCCTGAGCAAAAGTGAGACCCTGTCTACTAAAAATAGAAAAACTAGCCAAGCATGGTGCTACACGCCTATAGTCCTAGCAACCCGGGAGGCTGAGGCAAGAGGATTGCTCAAACCCAAGACTGTGAGGTTGCTGTAAGCTATGACATCACTGCACTCTACCCAGGGTGACAGAGTATGATAAGACTCTGTCTCAAAAAAAAAAGAGGAGAAAAAAAAAAGAATTCATAATAAAACAAAATGCAAAAGTCAACAGTGATTTGGGGACAGGACAGGGAATATATGGGAACTCTTAGGACTTTCTGCTCAGTTTTCCCTTGAACCTAAAACTGCTCTAAAAATCTTATCTAAAAAAGTAGAGAACTAGGAAAACATTTATAAAAACAGGATCAATAAAGATTAAAAGCATCATTAAACAAAGCACTAACTATTCATCAACATTCCAATTAAGCAAAGTATAATAGGCTCAGCGCCTGTGGCTCAAGTGGCTAAGGTGCCAGCCACATACACCTAAGGTGGCGAGTTCGAATCCAGCCTGGGCCCACCAAACAACGACGGCTGCAACCAAAAAATAGCTGGGCATTGTGGCAGGAGCCTGTGGTCCCAGCAACTTGGGAGGCGGAGGCAGGAGACTCGCTTGAGCCCAGGAGTTGGAGGTTGCTGTGAGCTGTGATGCCACAGCACTCTACCCAGGGGGGACAGCTTGAGGCTCTGTCTTTTTTTTTTTTTTTAAAGTATAATATGAAAAATATCCACAGAAGAAACACAAATGGTTAAACATAACATATTCAATGTCAGTATTATTCAAAGAAAGGCATAACAAAGATACTATTAATCAAATATTCTTGCATGCCTACTCCATAACAATTAGTGGAATCCATCCTTTATGTTAATGATCTCCATTAATCCAATAAGGTACCTATGTTTATTTCTATTGCCTCTGTGAGATAAATATGAAGTTTGATTTGCCTAAGGTCACCTACATAGTAA